ACGGGGACTAAAAAAAGTGACATACATGTACATACATACATACAGACAGACATACAGACATACAGACAGGGTAACTGCAAAGACTCCTTTTTGTGCTTCGCACACGGGAGTCAATTAGTACTGCATGATCAAATACAATTTCCCCCATACACAGAATTAAGGAAGGCAAGTTAGAGGAAATGACAAATATCCTACTAGATTGATATTTTCTAATTCATGAGACATACTTTTTGATGGTTCATGTCTTGGTGCCTTGATTGGTTTGTTTTCCTCAGTACGTGCAAGGTCAACATCCCCTCTACCAGTCTTCTTACTAGCCCTCACAGGGGGTGGTGGTGCAACCAACTCAGGGTTCAAGGCAAAGATTTGATCAACCTCAATCTGGAATAACAATGGTGGAACAAACAATGCTTGAATGGGAGAAAAACATTAAATGTTTTGGAAACGCTTTATACTACATGTAGTAGATAAATGCACATGTGAGAATATGATATAAATTTAGAATCTGTGTTCCAAACTTTACTTGAATATAAAAATCGAATGACGCTAACCTTGCATTTCCACTAGTGTCAAACAACAAATAAATGCAGTGAATAAAAGCAATCTTATTAAAGTTGTATTAATGTATCAGACATATTTTGTTGCAGTATTACATGTAGGTGTGTGCCTTGTACAAAATGCAAGAATTATGGTATTACACTGTAGCAAGATATCTGGGTCAGAAATTGTTAGCAGCCGATCATTGGGAGCCTTTATGTAGGCATTAACAAGTGCATCAAATCTCACAAGAAACTGACATCTCTCTAATGTGGCCTAATTATTCAAAAAGTCAGGTTTTTTTTTTTGATGAACACCCACTTGCTCTGTCCTGTCCCATTCTTTCTCAATTTCATAGCATCTATTGTCACTGCGTTCAAGCGAACATGTAACATTTTATAGTTTAAAGGCTAGTGTTGAGAGTGTTCCAAAGCAGGATTTGAAAAGAGTGTTGCATGGAGGGATTTTAGGTATTCCAAAAAAAATAAATCAGTCACGTTCTAACAAGCATAACTCAGAGCACCTCAACTGCCAACAATTCAAGCTTATGTTCATTACACATGTTCATGACTTCAAATAAGTTTAACAGATAATACAGTTTTAACACATTGGAAGCCACAATTTGACTCCATACGTCTATTATCTCATGATATTAAAACATTTGACAGCATTGTCATACCTCTTTGCCCTTTGTTTCTCCTTTTTCAAACCACTCCACAGTGACACTTTGTGCAGCTTCATTGGCACCACTGATCACTGCTGAGTGAACACGGCCTACAGAAAAAAACAAAAAACAGAACTGAACCAAGTTACATGACAGCTACAGTTGCACTGAAATCATTCTTTATTTGGGTCTTGAGAATATATGTAACACATTTGATGAAGTTCACAAAAGCATTGGAAGCAAACGCCTTAATATCCAATGTGTTTGCATTTTGATTTCTATATATTATTCAATAAATGCCGAGTCATTTTTGTCCTTGAAAATGGATGCCCTCTTAAATTTGAAGTTCAAGCTTTGACATTGTGCAAGATAATCATTTGCTTGCACTATTCAAAAGCATTAATAAAATGATATTAGCCAAAACAATCACCATCTTCTGGATGCATCCACATATTAATATTTATCACACATTTCCCAGCAATGCATGCAATTTCACATAAAGCCATTGAATAATCTCAAAGTGCAAATTTTAATTGAGCTACTGCAGATGAACATTATACATTTGTGTACACGTACATCTAAGAAATTGCAACTATTCTAAAGACATTGAAATCAATATGTACATAGAGTGTAAACAAATCTGAGACAATTACATATACAATGAACATATTATTTCACAGTGACCAGAAATGCAATTATTCTTCTGAAAATTTGGGTGCCTACATTGTGGCATTCACACAAAGATGTATTTTGTTTCATTTTACAAAAGATCTCAATGCACTAAATGCAAATCACATGATTTTTTTTTAGAACATCATCACCTGCTGACGCATTATACCATTCACATCTGATATCTATTGCTTTCAGCAGAGAATGAGTTAATGAAAATTATTACAAAAAATTTGTTAGATCACAAATATACATAAATGTACAATTCTTAACAAATGTGATTCTTAACATTGACGAATGCTCCAATATTTCCTACAACATTTTCATAATATTAAATACATTGCATAATAGCCCCAACAGGGTTCTCCCCAGGGCTTTTTTTATGTGTTCCCACCTCGGCGCTTGATTTCATATTTGACATGCAATATAA